CTCAATACGAGGCCCAAGAGCCACTTAAGATATAGACATACTGAATTAGGTTGTTGTAAGGGCGTACAAGAAGGTAATAAGTGGTGCATATTATGACGATATGTGGGATAGATCATGTTTGACCCTAGACTTGAAGTGGTTAAAATTGTAGTGATCAGCGAAGCATCCTATCGGAAGTCTGTTCCACAACGTAACTTCTGGGCAAAAAGCTGAGTTTAATTTTCTCCTTACTAATGGAATACAAAGAGAACGAGGATGAATCAACTCAGTGTACATCCATGGCAGATCTTAGCTGTTAAAGACCGGATTAGTGGAACTAAGGGATGTAGCTCGTCTGAACATTTGCCTTGGAAATAGCGATAGAATAGTGAGAGGCTAGAAATGTTTCTTCTGCGAGAAAAGGGAAGATTATTCACCAAGCATAAGCTGGAAAGTGAGGATAGGGCGGTTCAAGTCTAGATATAACAGCATTATTTCATTTTTTCGTTTAATCTGACTGATACCTTTATAGAGCGTGGCAGGAGAAGTCCAGTACTTTCCGGAGCTGTAAAACGGAACCTATCATTTTTTTCCAAAGTCTGCAGCTAGGGATCGTATATACGAGTTACACTCGTTTCGTTTGGAGTGAACTTGGGTCCCAGTAGAAATTCCAGGGTTAGATTGGCGGCCAGATCTCATCATTTTACAGTTGAAATGGCCAGATGTAACTTAAGTTCTATGCTAGCAGTTTCTTTTCTCGCAGTTCTTGCGTGTGGAACTATCTTCCAGATTAAAGTTGGCTGGGAAGCATGGAACTGGAAGGGAATTCCACAACCGAGAAGTGCGAGAAATGAAACTTTTAGCATAGAACTTAAAGCTACATCTAACCAGCTCAACTGTAAATTGATGAAATCTCGACGCCAGTCTAGTCTTCTTCTTTTATACGCCGTGTCCCTTCAGGACGTAGGCGATCATGGCTCTCCACTTCTCCCTATCCCTTGTAGCTCTCAATATGTCCTGTCCCCCTGCCACCTCTCCCAAACCCTGTTCCGTCATCCACTTGCTTAAGCCCGCTAGGTATACCACGCGTTGCTTTCCCTTGTGTCTCTTTCTCTCTATCCACTCCGTGTGTATCAGATTCTCCAAGCCCCCTTGTCTCTTCCTGATGTTAAGTATAAACTTCCTCCTTGTTTTCATCCTCTCCAAAAACTCATCGTTGCTCATATGTTCGGGCCTTGGTATCCTTAGCATCCTTCTGTAGAACCATACCTCCATTGCATTGAGTCTCTTCTTCATCTTTGAGGAGACCGTCCAACATTCGCTAAATTCATAAAGACTAGGAACCATAGCGAAGAGATCATCTGAACAATTACCATCAAAATATTTATAGAAAAGGCACAGAGAGGCAACCTTACGGCGGTGGGAAAGTGACTGAAGCTGAGACGCCAGGTCACGACCAATAATATAAAAATAGACTTTTTCATAATATGCTTTTTACATTTTGACATGTTCTCTTAATATATTCAGGATATTGTAAGTAAAACTAATTACCTGAAAATGTCCAATGAATTTTTATAACGTTGTTCATCTAGAAATATTCCTAAACAGCATAGAAAATTTCTATTCATGTTCATTTCCTGGTGCAATAAGTTGGGCAAAATCCAACCGTGGAATAATTTGAAGTCATAAGTTTACACTTGAGAAATCTTAGTCATACTGGCAGATTTCTTTTTTGTTCTCTTAAGTGTGTTTTTATTTTACCTACCAGTAAAGTCTTATTGATCAGTAAAATCATTCTCCCGAATTCCAATTTCCCATTGATAATTGTTCTAAACCTCCATAACTAACTTGGTACCCTTTATTTTTGTTATATTCCATGTTAATGGGAATATATACTTGAACAACCCGGTGGATAAAATAAGTAAAGGTTTATTGTAAAACCAGTACAATAAAAAGTAAGGTAACAGTTATGCGCACGATCGTTGCAAGTCAATCCAGTAGTGAGTGCCTCTATTAGAAGGTTGGTAGTTCTCGCATAAGAATGAGTCATACTCAACAGATCCCAGTTAGTCTCTGTAGTCCGTTGACTTACAGATACTTATAGGTAGTTACTTCCTATAGTGTAGTCACTCATGGGCGTGAGACGTTATTCCATTACATCATTTTATTTTTATTCTTATTTTTTTTATTCTTTTGCTTTTTTGTTTTCTTTTGATTTTTAAATCCCTCCGTTCTGGCCGTTGAATTTAACCTAGGAAGCCCTCAACGATGCCATTATCTGGCAACATATTATGCAAGAAGGTCCCTCATCCTTTGACGGGTGGTCTTAATTCTATCTCGCCGGAAAAGTATGATGGAACCATTTTAGTAGCCGATGACACTATCATACTGCAGATATTACTTGGTTAGATGGTAACAATGGCATTCATAAAGTGTGACCTAGACTAAAACAAAGCGGTAAGAAACAGAAAAGTTTCCTTTGGAACGAAAAATAAATATGGCAAACATGGACATTTTTGCCGGCAAAAAATGATTTCAAAAGGACTTTTTCCTATGCCATCGCTTTTTTTTTAACTAATCCTCGTCAATATTTGTCATAAAAAAACGAATTGTAAAAAAACCTATTCACATGAAAGTGAATTTATATATTTTTTGTTCTTGAAAAATTTACAAAACCGTTAAACGCTATTTAATAATTTATGAGCAATAATTTACACTTTAAAAACTAATACAATTAAAACAAAAGGAATATTTTCATTAACATATAAATAAATATGTGAAGTTTTTTATAGATAAATGTATAAATATTTACTAAATTAGAATGTGAAAAAACTATAAGGAAATCCTTATTTACCATTTTATAAAATTCGAATCATTTAGCAATTAGCTGATATTTTATTAACCATCCCAACAATGTTTATTTTTTGTCAGTTCTCTAGAACAAATATATATATATATATATATATATATATATATATATGTGTGTGTGTGTGTGTGTGTGTGTATGTATGTATATGTGTGTGTGTGTGTGTGTGTGTGTGTGTGTGTGCTGGTATGTAGAAAAATAGGAAAGAACACGTTAGGTAAATAATCCAAAGTTCTTTTGTATTTTTGTTTTTATTTTTAAAAATCAGTGCTTCGTAAAGAAGTAGAGCTTAAATTATAATTATTTAAAAAAAATATGATTCCTTCGCTATATAAGAGTTCTCATGTTTCGAAAACGAGAGCCGAAACCCTCAATATAATTATTAAAATTAAATTGAATTAAAGTATCAAACCCTGTTTCATCCTCAAGCGAAAATTTAGGAACCTAAGTTCTAAATTTTCGCTTGAGGATGAAAACAGGGCCTGTTACTTTAATTCAATTTAATTTTAATAACTATATTGAGGGTTTCGGCTCCCGTTTTTAAAACATAAGAACTCTTATGTAGCGAAGGAATCATATTTTTTTAAAAATAATTATGTATATATATATAAATTCACTTTCATATGTTTAGGTTTTATTACAATTGTAATCATCGCTTTTTAAAACAATAAACTTTGTCGATGAGTGAAGGTAGTTAAAATAGTAGCGGTGTCAAGGGAAAACCGTCCTTTTGACACTCCACAATTTTGACCTTCAAAAAATTTGAATGCAGTGTCAGTCATTATCTTCCGCCCTTTAAAATTCTGTATCTGTTATTGTTCTCGTTTCTTAATAATGTTATATTACATTCTTTCACACTTAATAACATCCTGCGTCTTCGTGGATTTGTTGCCTTGCTTGGGGTAAAATGATTAAAAACAAAAAGAAGTTGGAACCAGTCGAAAACACTTAATAAACTTTTTATAAGATTAGTACACTTCTAAATAGAATCGGAAAGACTTTTGGGTAAATATATGGCGAAAAAGTGGCTGAGAGGTATAGTAAAAAGAAGAAACATTGCTTCAGACTATATCGTGAAACTGACAGTCACTGTGAATTGTTGATTCTTATCTATCTATCTATCTATCTATCTATCTATCTATGTTTGTGTGTGTATTTGAGAAACTAGCCGTATCGAATTACTGTTATTCTACAATACTTTAAATAGCCATCTGTAAACGACTTTTAGTTTCTTTCACTCTCCAGTGAAGCCCACCGAGCCATGACTGGAAAATAACACCTGGTGGAAAAGTATGGAAGAGACGAAAAGGATTCTTAGCAGACTGTGGAACGGGAAAAAAAAACGATTTGCCTTTAAAACGCACGAAAAGCGATACAAGATTCACTCTTAAGTGTTTTCCGTCAAACTACTTGAAGATGAAGTGAACATCAAAGAACTGCACGCAAATCGGTTTTATAGCAGTCAAAGCAAAGCTATTGCGAGAACATTGTTTAGTGGATTCGCACCATAAAATCATTAAGAATGTACATTCACTTCTTTCTTTAAACGGTGCAAAGAGATAGAGTGCAAATTGTATATTCTAAATGTCAACTTCATACAGCAAATTCGGTCATGAAACTTTCTTTTTAAATGCATTCTTCACTGATCAACTCAGCGTAAGCCGTTAACACGTATAACCATCTTCGATCAAAGAAACATGAAATAAGGTATGAACTTGATTCGAATAAAATTAAGAATTCTCTCGAAATTACAAATGGGAGTTCCTATGCTTCATCATGGAACACACGCACACACGTACTCTCTCTCTTACTCTCTCTCTCTCTCTCACTGCCGCCAGCAGAGCGTGCACTCACATGATTTTTCTCTCACCAGAATTGATTTTGGCATTGCTCTCTGGTTTGGTGAGACTTCCTCTTCCGGAATGACCCAGGGGATCATGTAACAGGCGGAAAAGAACTTGTACCTGTGATAATGATTTTTTTCAGATAAAAGGCCTACTATTTAACCCATAGTTGAGGAGAAAAGAGATGGATTCGTATCTTTCTCAAGGCTATTTGCTCGTAAGTGAATGTAACGAGCTCGACTGGAATATGAACTCGACTCTCACATTTCACATTCCGAGCCACTATCCATTACACCACTTCCACATCCAAGCTTACAGTGCCTACTATTCCCAAGCAGTAACCTATCTAAGTATTGACCAGGCTCGACGTTGCTTAACTTCGGTGATCGGGCGAGAAACAGCATTTTAACATGATATGGCAATAAGGCTTCTTATACTTATTCAGTTAAATAGAAAATTGATCCTTCAGTTATTAGACAACAAAAATTGAATATCTACATGTGAATACAATTTAAGCAAGATGACTTGAATTAAATCGACAATTGCCGTCGGCTTAATATGTTTATTTTTCCAGTTTCCGAATGCTGTACATCGGGATTAAAATTGTAGATAAATTGCTTAAAATTCATGTTTTGTTCTTGCATTTCGGGTACTTTTAACTGTCTCAGTCATTACCAAGAACTGGGTGTTATAAGTATGGTAGACATGGTTTAGTTGGCTACATCCTGGTATTTTTGTAAGTTTATTCAAATTAATTCAAATATACACATATATCGTATAAGTTACGTCAAATATTTAGGTACCTTCAAATAAAAAAGCGATACCTAAAGTTTAAAATGAATTAAAAAAGATGAAAAATGTTATCATAAAACTAATAGATTAAATTTAATATTTTCAGTCAACAAAATACTTTGCTGTATTTCACCACGAATTTAAGTTGATTGGAATACTTTTTTATTCGCTAAAAATGGCTGATTTTTAGCGATATTTACAAAACTCTCAGCACAATGTAATTCTCTTTATTGAAAAAATTTTTCAAAAATATATTTTCCTGAAACTTTATTTGAGGAAGATTAGCAGATTTAAAAGTTAATCTGATTAGAAACAAATATTTTTTTTTACTTTTAGTTTCAAATATCGCAGAAAAGTATTTTACAACATGGAGGTTTTTCTTTTCTTATCTTTTTTAAGGTATCCTAGGTTTTCTATTTAGAATTGGGTTTCTAGTTCCTACTAAAGTTTACTTATTCTCTTTCACTCCCAGCAATCCCCATGTGTCTTAGTGACATTATCGCCTTGCTTGGGGCGAAATGCTTAAAGAAAAATATATGCGTATGTAAGTAAAATGTACCTCTAAAAAGACAATAGGAATAAAGTGAAATAACTCCTTACATTTGCCTTTAACAAGACAAATGCAAGGATTTTATTCTGCAACATGTATTTATAAAGAGAAGTAAAAATATCGTTAGTTTTTTAAAACTTTTAAATTTAAGAACACTCAGAAATATTCTTCAAGGTAAACTATGGAGGATGCTAAGTGATATAATTTAATGCTTAATAAACGAAAATGAGTAAATGTTGTAAGCGTTGATTTTTTTATTTTCTTATTTGTTTATATGTGTTTACTTACTTGCTTTATTTATTTAATATTTGTATTTCTGTTTAAAAATACATGTTGCAGAATAAAATCCTTACATTTGACTGGATAAATTCCATCCCAGCAAGAAACGAGTCGGTAAAGAAACGTTTTCGTTTTGTTTTTATTCATATATGGACATAAGATATCGCACGCCGAGTGCTGGTATTAATAAAATAGTGTTCGATGTAATATAACTGAGCTATTAAGTATATATTAATAAATATACATATTATTCCTCACCGCGAGCACAACTCATAATCGTGAGGCATATATATATATATATATATATATATATATATATATTTGGTTGGATAGATGTGAGTTTGTGACCCTGGGTTTCACGCTTTAGCGATCGTCAGACAAACTGATTACTGTTTTAAAAAATTTGGGTTTATGTAGATTGCGTGTATTGGTGTTATTGTGGAAGTGGTGGGGAGATTTCGTCGTTTTGTCATTCATCGTACTAACGCAAACATCGATGTATGCAGACACATATACATATACATACTTGGTCGTCCGTCGGGACTCATATATATATAAACATATGTAGACAGTTTCGGCTATGACACATGTATGTATACGGGTGGTGTTATGTCTATACATACGCATTTGTATGTTGAAATGTTGAAATTTAAACATTGGAAGTGTGGCAGAAATGTCTCGTTATTGTCTCGTGAATGTATCCATGTCATATTATGAAATTTTTTTTTTTTTTTTTTTTTCTCCGTTGAAAAATATTTGAAAAATATTTTCTCGCATGTATGTATATATGTGTGGTGGGGTTTGTGTCATAGCCGAAACTGTCTACATATGTTTATATATATGTATGAGTCCCGACGGACGACCAAGTATGTATATGTATATGTGTCTGCATACATCGATGTTTGCGTTAGTACGATGAATGACAAAACGACGAAATCTCCCCCACCACTTCCACAATAACACCAATACACGCAATCTACATAAACCCAAATTTTTTAAAACAGTAATCAGTTTGTCTGACGATCGCTAAAGCGTGAAACCCAGGGTCACAAACTCACATCTATCCAACCAGATATGTTAGCTCTATCTCTGATATTGAGCGCTTTCTAATAAGTACTGCGCATATAATATATAAATAATTATACATATATATATATTTATTTATATTTATATTCACTTTTCACACATATATATATATATATATATATATATATATATATATATATATATATATATATATAATTGCAGACAGTACTGTTTCGCTGAAATGCTTCAAGCCAGGATTGAAACCCAACCGATTTGGCTTCAGTCAGACTTTCTAAATAATGAGACATCTAAATCTAGCAATTTGGTTTTACAAATGTGAACAAATGTCAATCAGCCGGAGTGCTCCATTCATTTTATTGAAGAGCTTCGCATTAACGCAGGCGGCTGTCACTTGTAAAATTAGCTTGTCATTCAACAGTGCTCAACTGAAATATATTTTCAAGAGCTAAATTAGGTCATTCGCAGACAGTACTGTTTCGTTGTATCACAGCTATTCATTGCGACTTATATAACGCATATATATATATATATATATATATATATATATATATATATATATATATATATATGCATGAAGAAATATAGTTTTAAGGTGTGCTATATTTATGGGATAAAGTGCTCAATATCAGAGATGGAGCATGTGTAAATATAAAAGTGAACATTGAAATCAACACTTAGAGGGGACAGACTGTTTCATGCTAGACGCAATCGTGGCCTGACGATTGCGTCTAGCATGAAACAGCCTGTCGCCTCTAAATGTTAACTTCATTGTTCACTTTTATATATTGATATAATGTAATATGCACCCACCTGTGTTCCCCCTCACTGGAATATGATTGGCTGGTGTCCGTCATAAATACCGACGGACGTGTAGGAGAGTCAAGAGCCTTAGTCTGAGAGCTAAGTCTATAATGACGCCCATTGGACTACGCCATTGATCTACACTTCTGACCTGTGACTACGACGCGTACCAGTCGATTACTGCTGCCGTATTCTACTTGGTAGCCAAAACCATTTAGCTACTTTGTTCAAATATATCCCTTTCCGGGACATATCATATATATATATATATATATATATATATATATATATATATATATCCTACTACTCCAAGCGTTATGTTTGGAATTACGTCTATTTAGTTGCACTTTTGAGAGACTTAATATATTGTGTTCTCCGTCAGGGTTTGAATCTATGTACGCCTTTGTAAGCGAAACCAATGCTGAAAAGTTCTCGGACTGAACTACTTTTCAAAATATTACCAAATTAATGAATTTGGAGGGAATTCCTCTGAACTTTTCAGTAACTATTCTTATTCCTCCCTCACCCTTGTATATATGTATTCATACATACATACATATATATAAACAAAGAAACACACGTACATACAACACACATGTATACAAGTTTCCTTAAAGAGTACTGACAAGGTACTGTGATTAAGTGTTTTCTTTTCTGGACATAAAGTATATAAAACTATTTCTTTCTAAAGTACCTAATAGCAATACTGAACATACAGATAAAAACAATAAAATTAACATTTTCTATAAAAAACACACGTTAACTTTAAGCAAAATGAATTTTCTCTTAGAAACATTTTAAAGAAATTCACAACCTCATTCGACGAGAAGAAGAAAATTAAATTATCTACTATGAAATATTTAAAGCAGCTAACCTTATCATTAAGAATAAAAACCCACCTGCAAAGTCTAAAATACAGAGAACTAATATTATTTATAAATTCGAATGCCCTTTAAGGAACTGCGTTTCCGATCAAACCAACTCATGAATAAATATATTGGACATACCACTACATCGAGAAGATTCCTTTTACAACGCTCTGACCATAGCTCCATTAGGATCCATTTTAACACATACGGAAACCTACCAAACACCATTCGTAACATACTAGTAGAAAATACAAGGATAATAAACTCATCCACATGTAAAAATGATTCCAAGACTCAATAATATCAACTATTAACATGGTCTTAATTTACTTACTGACGGTGTTTGGAAAATAAAATATTCCTATAACTGTAGTTATACATAAAACATCCATACATTCAATTAAAATAAAAAAATAAAAATCATCCTCGATAATGGCTAGAAGAATAGCCTAAACGGCTCAGATATGAAGAACATTTGGAAACTTTTTACAGATTTTATGTACAGATAAGAAAACACTTATACGAACACAAGAAAAATTAAATATAAAGTTTAATCGCGGTACGTGGTCAGTCGTTTTCAATGGAAATTGTATAAAAGAGTGATCTCTGCCCAAATAAACAATTATATATATATATATATATATATATATATATATATATATATATATATATATATATATACAATCTTATATATAAAGTACAGTTTATATGTGTGTGTTTGTGCGTGTGTGTCCAAGCAACTCCTCCGCCCCCACTGGTCCGATTTCAATGATTCACATCTCATTCAAAAGCCCTAGAAAAGTTAGGCACGGGGAACAATTTTGGTTCAGCTCAGATTCAGGGTTGCCAGGTTATGCGAGGTTAAAGTATATATATATTAATACATTATACTAGCCATTATCGTTGCTTTCATAGTTCAAGGGGAGTCACTTTTATTTTCCTTTTGTTTCCAAAATTGCAGTGCACGTGTTATTATAAACTAGCTTGAAAACCGCTTCATCTGGCGGCATTTAAGCTAGCTCCTGTGGAGGACTTTTGGTATGGTCATCATCACAATAGCTAGGGAGGAGTAGATGCGATA